ACGCTTAACACAATTGATGAAGTCGTCTCGAGTGTTTTGTTTAATTTCATCTTGCAGCGAACCTACGTCTCCTCCTTTCCTTAACCGGTATGGAACCGGAACTAGTAGTCGGTCCCATGCTCCATTTCGGTTCATCTTCCTCATCGCTTGTTTCATCTGACCGCCACCTCAATCCGCTACCGTTGTTTCCGCTTTCGTTGGCCAAGACGTTCTTGTTGTCCTTCAAGCTGCATTTCACGATACTCACAGTTGATATGTATCCGATCCAATACAAAGAATTTAGAGGCGGGCATTAAAACCGAACTCAAACTGCTCAAATCGAAACTAAACCGAACTTTTTGTGCAAACCAAACGGTAACACAATAGTTGTAGAGAAGAGAGGAAATGTACCTTGAAGACATGTCCATTGGATAATCCAAATGGACAAAGTTATGGGACGCGAGTTCTTTTTCTGGTTGCATCCTAGTGCCAAAGAAAGTAGATTTCGGTTTCTGTGCAGATCCATTGAGATGGTTGCTGCTGGGTTTCATTGTTACAGGACTGTTAGCTGTGACCCGGCGGAGATAAGGAGAGCTCATATTATTCTCCATGAATCTATCAACATTTGTCTCCGGAGAGGTTTCTTCAGTTCTTTTTCCTTTGAGCTGACTGTTCCCATGAGCTCTATTAAGATCTTTGAACGGAGTTGACGCCTCGCCGAATTTCAGGGTCTTGGTTATGCTTCTAATTTCACTCTTTTCTCCTCTATTCGTGCTTGTAAATAATCTTCCATAAGAAATATCAAGGGAAGAGTTTCCTATCAAATGACTGGGTTTAAAAGGACTGCCATTATTAGCTACTGGCTCTCTAGCGCTGGCATTATTAGCCCGTTGAAGAAATACGGAATTAGTAGAAACGGGAACTGAAGAAGTAATCATCTCAGGTGCATCAGGAAGATCAGAATTTCTTGCCGCTTCAGAAGCAGTATCTTCCATCTCAGGAAATTGTCCTGATCTAACTTCCTGCTGCTGAATGGCTGGAAGTATATCTATGGCTTTATCCTGTTTCAACACAACAGAAACACCGGAGGATTGAAATTCCAAGTTGAAATAGCATATACATAAAACGTTCAATTTTCAGAACCAGAAGACTATCCTGCAAGTATCAAGAGGCTACCGAAAAATATTACAATGCAGGGAGGAGAACCATAAGCACTAAAAACGTAAGAAGGTGAAAAGTTTAGGATGTAGCCTTTAAACCAGGAAAACTGGAAGGAACCAACATGGAAAGGTGTGTGGAGTACTTACAACTAACTCTTTTCTCCAATGACACTGTGATTGCATTCTAGACAAAACTTCTTCCCCAACTTGATTTTCGGACACGAAAGCCTCTTCAATTTTCTGGAGCCTAAGATCGACTTGGTATGCCTGGATGTAACGGTAACGCTGCAGCAATGCAACCAATAGTTTCCAGTCAAAGACAGCAAAATATTCCAATAAGTAGAGTGTATAGTAGTGCAGTTTGCCTGATTGTTCACTTAATTTCATATTTGTTCATTACTCTCAACCAGACAATATCAAACATCGACTAATGAAAGATTGTTGAAACCTAGACAGCAAATACGGGAAAATATACCAGTATCTAGACAGTAAATTTTACTCTATCCAAATTGGAATATGTAGCTTAAAGCTCTGGAGTTTTAAGCAGTTGTCTTACTATCTATTTGACTGCTTCTAAACCTACTCTCCAAGCTGACAAACTGTTCTGAACCTATGTTGCTCAAGTGAAGTTGATTTAAGCATGAATATATAATTACTTACCTGAAGATAAAAGACAACCAAAAGACTTCCCACAGGTGATGAGGGGTCATCAGCTGCAGAATCTAATAAGCACCTGTGCAGATATTTCTCCTCATCTGGGTTCCACGGTAACTCAATGATTCGATCAACCAAGTTTCTCCTAATAGAAAGGCAGCAGAATTCGTTGACAAGAATCTCCATCCATTCCATCCAACTCCAGCTGTCTAAATCATCAGACACATGTTTCACAGCTCCATTTTTCAATTTATTTTCTTTTACTTTCAAGCAGAGTGCCCTTTGGTATGTGAATGCTTCACTCAGAAGCCCACATTCCACTCTCACACGAAGAGCTGTGACAGCTTCACCAATTGAAACCAAATCTGATACACCATCACGACCAGACCAACGCAAAACCATAAGAGCTGTTTCAGAGTTTTCCCTTTCTAACAGGACTTGTGCAACCTTAGGGTAGGTTTCTGGACCACATATTTCAGGAAGAATCCTGCAAACCTCCTGAAATATAATTTGGAAAGTTTGTAAGCTATACCAATTAATAAATGACGATGTAGAATTTATAGTACGTATACTTCAGCAAGAATATTAAACATGCACAAGAAGATATATGTCCATGTCTTTTCCCTGGGAATGCCAATACCTCGAGTGCCTCCTTTGAGTCATCATCAAGAAGGTAAAATACAAAAGACTCTAGCAGTGAATGCCTGGTTACGCCAAACGTAGCAGCAAAATCATCTATAATGTGCTTCCAATGTTTATCAGGGGTAGACCAATGCCGATCAAACAGGTAGTAAAGAAACTATTTCCTGGTTAAGGAAACCAGCGGAAAAACATGAGAATGTTCCCTGCTTTTGAGTAT